ATATAACGCCACGTAAGCTTTCTTTTCCTTCTTCGTTTTGCTTAGATATCTGATCGGACCTGCGTAATCAACTCCGATGACTTTAAAGGGTGTTGAACCGGTCGTCCTCTCGAGGGGTAGATTAGCTGTCGGAGGATCTGCGTATGCTTTGACTTGGAATCTTTTACATCCATGGCACTTTCGTATCACACGTTTCGTCAATCGTCTTAATCTTGGGATCCAATATTTCTCTCTGATCTTAGTCATTGTTAGCAAGGCTCCCCCATGTAAAGTCTGCGAATGTGCATGTGTAACTAATTTCTCGGCAAGTACGTCTTCGTCTGGAACATAAATCGGATAGTCTCCTTGCACTCTTCCTCTACATTCATAGATATCTCGATCGTTTAGTTGAAGGTTTAGTTGGAGCCTGTCCTCTTCGAATTTTTCTTTCCCTTCGCATCGGGATTGTGCTTTTTTAATCCAGAACTCGAGCTGTTCGTTTATTTCTTCAGTTGTCAGAGGACCGGTTATTTTCTCTTTCGTTCGGCAATTCTTGGTAAATCTCGCTATCCATGCTGTAATTCGGACGGCTTTCCAAAGATCCCATTTCTCGATAAGGTTATCTAGTTCATCTTGCTCTGGTTCAACAGCTACGGCTAGGATTTCTTTGATAACTTTAGCTTCGGCTAGCGATTCTTTACTTGGGCTGTTCACGATGTCTTCAGGCCACTCGCTCTTTTTGGCTAGCCACGGTGGTCCCTTGAACCATAACTCAGATGACTCGTCCACCTTGCCGCCGCGACTTCCGAGATCCGCTGGGTTTTCTGCTGAACTAACGTATCTCCATTGTATATAGTCCTTTTCTTGAATCTTCCGGACGCGATGGTTAACAAATTGTTTATACTCGCCGTTTCCCTTTATCCAATATAATGCTACGGTACTATCGAGCCAGCTGAACGTGTTTCGAACCGGAAATCCCATCAAGGATTCTTTCACATTATGAAGCAAGTTCGTGGACATATGACCTGCGACAAGTTCAAGTCTGGGAATAGTTAAACCTTTCTTGGCGAGTCTGGACTTCGACGCTACGATACCTTGGTTGATACCGGACTGTTGCTCGGTTACGGCATATACGACCGATGACACTCCCTTGCCACTAGCATCGCCGAAGGCATGTAGATCAATTGCTCCAATTTCTTCTTCATAACCAACAAGACTCCTCGTTGTCTCCACTTCCTTTGGTAGATTTTGTTCCCACGAAATCCATTTGGCAAGCAATTCTGGTGTCAGTTCCTTGTCCCCAGGCATTCGCGCATCACAAACTTCTCTATAGATTAGTTTTCCTTGTAATGTTGTGGGTGATACAATCCCCAGAGGATCGTATATTTTGGCGATGTTTCCCAAAACACTTCGTTTCGTAATTTCTTTCAACGAATCCGGAAAGTTCACTTTGATAGTATCCTTTTCCTTGTCCCAAGGCACACCGAGTAAACTTGTTTCTCCAGGTTTCACTCCCAATTGCTCTTTCGCATAACTTGTCTCGACTGTTTGGAGGGAATTTGTTTCCGCTTCTAGGGGTTTTATTTCCGCTTCGAGGGGTCTTATTTCCGCTTCGAGGGCTGGATTATTCGAATGCCACTTGTGCAAATCAAATTTCGCTTCACCAAAGATGGTCACGCACGATTTCTTAAGATGCTCGGTTTTTTCAACTGTTGTCCCTCCGGATATGAGATCATCCACATACAGACTTCGTCGTATCTCGTCAACTTCACGTGGATAAACCGATTGCATGTTCTGCAGGTGCTGCTCAATAACACCGCCCAACAGGAACGGCGATGTAGAAAGGCCAAATAATGCTCGTGTAAATCTCAGTGTTTCCACTTTCCTTGTTGTAAGATCTTTGAGCCAATGAAAACGGAGGGCGTCACGATCATCTTCCCTTATACGAACTTGCAGAAATGCTTGTTTAAGGTCGCCGGATAGAGCTACAGGGTGGAATCTATTTCTTACTAGAACACTCCATAGTTGGTTTTGTAATGATGGGCCAGGTTCTAGGCATTCGTTTAAGGAAGGTGATCTTTCATTTGAACGAGCGGAAGCATCATACACAATTCGGGTTTTAGTACTTTCTGCTGTTTCACGTACGACTGGTTTGTGCGGAATGTAAAATTCCTTTCCTTTTGGCTCTTCTTCTACTCGCTCCACAATTCCTTTTGACAGTTGATCTTTGATTATTGAATCATATTTTTCAAGCATGTCCGGTTGTTTATCTAATTTCCTTACGAGGCTTTCCAGTCGTTTAATACTCCCTTCTTTGTTGTTGGCTAGTGGTGGATGGTTCCCCTTCCAGAGGAGCCCTGTCTCGTACCAACCGTCTGGGGTTCTCACTAATTGCTCTTTAAATTCTTGATAAACATTGCTTTGGTCACCAGTTGGATGATCTTTCAGCCCGAGTATGTCAAGTCTACACAAGTTCTCATAGTCTGAAGGAGTTGTCTGGGTTAAGAGCATCTTGGTTAGGTCAGCTTCCTTACCAGGAGACATGACGGTCCAGCCCAGTTGCGTCAGCTCTGCTACAGGTTCTCCAGGTTTGCCGATTTTGGGGGTTGTCTTGGTTTTAATCTTGGTATATTCGCTAGTTCCCAAGATTAAGTGTACTGGTAATTCTTGCTTGGTGTCTGTGTCATTCATGGTCACTCCACTTAGATGATCATACTGTTTTATCAGGTCAGGATAGTTGGGGTTGTCAAGGGTGAGCAACACGCCACGATTCACTTTAGTTACTTCAGTTCTCAGATTAAACTGGTCCGATAAACTCATCACATCCACTTGGTGAACTTCGATTTCTTGTCTTGTGGTTTGCATCATCATCTCGATTCGACGGACTTCTTTTCGTACTGGACGGGTTTTGATTCGATCTAGCAAGGCGGCTGATGCATATGAACTGCCTGCTCCGGTGTCCAGCAGTGCACGACAACGGATACCGTTTACTTTGACTACAACAACAGGATATATAACCGAACTGTCACCATTAGCTACTAGAATTTGTTCTGGCTTTTCTTCACAGATAGAAGTGTGATGTTTCTTACGACATATTTGACACAAGGATGGGCAGCGACATGCTGAAGCTCTGTGGCTGGTACCTGTACAGTTGAAGCATAGTTTCTTTGAGGATAAAAGTTTCTTACGCTCAGATGGAGTTGTAACTTTATCGCATTTCACTGACTTGTGTTGCGTACTATTGCAATAAACACACGGTCTTGGTTGCACCTCTCTGTCCCTTGCATGAAAGCTTCGAGCCCTAGGATCTTTTGGTTTTCTCTCAGTTTTGTCTTCATGTCTTGGTGGGTTCCGTTCTGTCCACTGTCGCAATGCTTCGATAAGATTGGGGAATTTCCAGCTTTGCCAGTCATCATCTGTACGCACCAAATCTCCACGTATACTTTCCAGCTTATCCAATGTCATGCGCACATACCCATTCACTTCTCCGATTCGACCCAAAGTCTCCAATGCTTGTACATTTGCTAGTAATTTTTCATAGAAAATAGAAATCTTGTTTGGATTTGTTCCATGAACTGGTTCAAGTGCCATAATGTTGCTAATATATGCATTAACAATTTCGCTTTCTTTACCGTACTTAGTTTTCAGAATATTCTTTGCCCTCTCGAAACCCTCTGTGGTCAGCGGTAATCCATCAACTAATGCTCGTACCTTAGGTTCTAATAGTTCCTTCAAGTATGAAAATTTTGTAACATTTGAAATGTCAGTTGCACCAATTCCTGTTTCATATTGTTCCCAAAATCTTGTCCAGTCTGCATGTGTAGTTACCGTTGAATTTGGAAATCACCATGCTTAGGTAACTTGGTTGTATTTGGTTGATTTGGGGTTGAGACACTTCGACTCTCTTCTAGCTTCTTTTCATATCTCATTCGCTGTTCTAGCTTAGCTGTTTCAAGTTTTAGTTCATCTTCGAACTTCCTTTGTCGAGATTGCGCTGCCATTTCTTCCTCTTTAAGTTTCTCAGCTTCGATCGCCTTTTGACCGATCCGTTTTAAGGAATTGTCGACGTCAGCAATTTGTGCTTCGATGGCGAATAATTTATCTTCCAACGCTGCATTCCATGTCTGTATATCTTCGATATTTTCGCCTTTTTCGATTTTTAACTCTTGAATTTTAACTTTAATATCATGAACTTCGCCTACCTTCATTGTTAAGGTCTTAATCTGTCGCTCCATGGCTAAAACATTGTTTGTTTCGACTGATTTCTCTGCTTGTTCTTGCGTGAACTTAATGAGCCTGAGTTTCGTCTCGATATTCTTGCTCAAATTTTCGATTGATTCCATGATTTGTGAGCTGATTTCTGCCCACCTGAGGGACGCCACTTATGTTGGAAACGGGTCTTCACAACACAATCACAAAATTAATAAAATATATAATAAAACAAAATAAATTTACAAGTATAATCTGATATGTAGTTCACGCTTCGCTAAGGTTTTCGATCAACAACGTGTTCGTTACATTCGTCCCCGGAATTACATCACCCCGGGCAAAGTTCCCAGAGGACTAATTTCCGACATTGCGCAATTTACTTCACTGAAGAATTCCAAGCTCAAAACTGGTTACCCCTGAAGAATTCCAAAATTCCAGGCTCAAAACTCTTTACCCCTGAAGAATTCCAAGCTCAAAACTGGTTACCCCTGAAGAATTCCAATATTCCAGGCTCAAAACTCTTTACCCCTGAAGAATTCCAAGCTCAAAACCTTTTACCCCTGAAGAATTCCAAGCTCAAAACCTGTCACCCCTAAAGAATTCAAAGCTCAAAACCCTTTACCCCTGAAGAATTCCAAGCTCAAAACCTTTCACCCCTGAAGAATTCCAAGCTCAAAACCCTTTACCCCTGAAGAATTCCAAGCTCAAAACCATTTACCCCTGAAGAATTCCAAACTCAAAACACTTTACCCCTGAAGAATTCCAAGCTCAAAACACTTTACCCCTGACGAATTCCAGGGATCCTCGACAGGGGGGGTACGGATATTAAATGGAATAGCCCATTTCTGAAGGGGTATTGGAAAATCGCAATTTCCGAGGGAGTTTAACAGAATTGAAAAATTTGTAAAGGTATCAGGAAAAATTTGACGATTTCCAAAGGGGTTACAAACAATTCATGGAAATTTTCGGAGGGGGTGTCGTGGAAAGAAATGGAAAGAATTCCGAAGGGCATTTCTTGCCAGTGAACCTTGGAAATTTCTGAGGGTGTTTGGTAAATTTAAAGAATTTCTGAAGCACATTGGCAAAAAACCATTGGCAAAGGGGTCTAAAATAAGAGACCTCGTCCACCATGGGGGGGGGGGGATATTAAATGGAATGGCCCAATTGTGGCCCCTAATAATCCTATATCCTAAGAAAATGGAATAAATACAGGAAAACAAACAAAAGCTGCTTTAAGAAGCCAAATTCAGGACACCATTATTGTGTTGACTTTTTTTCTAGTTGTTTATTTGAATTTATACCCACAATGAAAGCTATAAATGAAAGCTATAAATGAGTATACTATAAAAATGACCAGTTTTTCTCCCTTTTTGCGTGGAAAATGTGACAACATAGAGATACTTATCCAGAGGTGAAAAACAGTATTTTATTGAGATTTATAATCCATTTACACTATACGACTAGTCATATATGATTCTTATCCTGGTGTATGTACTTGTCTGAAAAGATGTGTGTAAAGATGTCACAGGGTTCGAATTTCGCCATACTGATCAACAGGAATATAGTGGTAGCAGCACTATATATATATATATATATATATATATATATATATATATCCCCCAAACTATATGTACCCCAAACTATACATGTACTATACTATACTATATATTTACCCCAAACTATACAACAATAGTCAACGTGAGGTTGCCGGTAACATTTGTAATAAATTATTCTGCGACCAACGGGCTACTCCTTGATCTGACTTAGAAGATGTATTCCTTTAATAAGAGACCTCGCTACTTTGCAGGGCTTTCAAAATAAGCTGTCGGAGCTCCGGCAGGTGGCACGAGGTATACCGCCAGTTACTTTGTTTGGCACTTGAAATATCAATTCTACTCTCTTTCCTCCAAATATGTTCTAAGTTTTCAAACACAGTTATTTTTCCTCAACCTGGTCTACTTTATAGCCTGGTTATTTTCATAAAACTGATATAGTTATCGACATCTTGTAGTTATAGTTGATTTCATGTCACTTCAGACCTCTCAACTCTCACGCATTCGGCGTGAGTCTCACGCAATTCGTTTCACTCTCACGTCACGTTTAGTTAATCTCACGCATATAGCAGTTTCATAGTATTTTTTCAATAAATAAATATAATATTGTATTCTTAAATGCACATTATTAAATATTAATCATACGGATCGCGAATCGAATATATAATCGAGTGTTATTGTTCCTGCATATACGGCCCGACATTTTGGCTTTTGCCCGCAATTTGGATACAAAATAGTACGCATAATAAATTATGTAAATACGGCGGACAAAAGGCAGAATCAGTCGGAGCAGAATTCTATATGTAAATTATCAAAGGCAAATTAAAGCTCATTACTGTATGTCACAGAAATACAGTTATTGTAACTAAAGTGCCTTGTCTTAAAGGAAGTTATGAAGCAATGTATTTCATTAAAAACACCAACTCTCATTATTAATGTACGAAATGCCATTACAGGACCCCCGGACTTTTACAAAGGTGTCATCCACATCCCCAATCTCACTCTTAACTTCTCTGCAAAGTTGAGAGGTCTGTCACTTTTCAACACGCGGTTCCCAAGTTCGTTGCAAACTTACCAATTACGTTTCCAAGTTCAAAAATGGGGCGTGAACTTCGCAACAAAGATCGCAAGTACGTTTCAATGTTTGAACTATTGCAAACAAATGTTCATAGTTCAAGTTGAAATTAACAATTCAATGGAAAGTTCTTGATCCAGTGGGCTACCAACTTACCAAGAAGGTTTGTATTTCATTGAATTGGTTATTATTATTGAGTGCGAACATTTGTTTACAAACGAAGTTCAAACATTGAAACTGATGAACTCGCAAATTTCCGAACTTGGGAACCGTGCGTTGAAAAGTGACTTGAAATCGACAATAAATCTTGTTGAAGAATGAAAGTAGTCATACATCATAATTTGTGTTGTGTTGCTATCTAATCAATGTACCTAATTAATTTGGATGACTTTAAGACTAACTGGACCGTCCCCTCCCTACAGCCGCCTACTTTATCAAAACAGACACCTACTCTGAATAATTCTGAAAGCCTTGTACTTTGTCAATCCGACAAAGTAATTTCATAACAACTGAATGTAATGTGACTGTACGTTGATAAGTTGATATGGTCATTGCTTTTGTATGAGTGATCACCATGTTGTTATTGGACATTGGTACACCGCAATGAACATTTGCCATATCCTCAGTTAACTTGACAATGAGTTCCTCAATTGTTCTAGCACTAGTATGAATTGTTGAGTCATCAGCATACATATCTGTGTCAGAGTTAACATAGAGTGGCTGATCATTGATAAACGTTATGAATAATGAAGGGCCCAGAACACTTCCTTGGGGACTCCATACAGGTTAGATTTCTTAGATGATAAAGTTCCTCTGAACTGTACACATTGGTTCCTTCCCTGTAGTAGTACGTATAGAAGTACGACTTAAACCTAGGCAGTTGTGATAATGTCAGATCATCACATTTGTAAACTGCAAGTTTTCGTAGTAACAGTTCAGTATCAACCATGTCAAACGCTTTACAAAGATCAATAAATATGACTCCATTAAAAGGCTGTTCTCCATACTGGATGACCACATATTCATAAGCTTGCATAACGCCGTTTCACATGAATGATTTCTCCGAAAACCAGACTGAGCATGTCATAAGAATGGAATAAGTCATACATAAAGGCCGTTTTCTACTAGGCGGAATTTTGCGCGCGGAGCGGAATTTTTCTTTGTCTTGTGATTTCTCGGGTGGAACTAATTAGAAAAGACAAAGAGAAATTCCGCTCCGCGCGCAAAATTCCGCCTAGTGGAATGAGCAAGCGAGGTTAATAAAAAGTTTATTATATGGCATTTATAGGCATTTTTACTTGAAACAAACAAGAAATGCAAGATTTGAAATGCATATTAGTAGCGTGGTACACATTTGGTCGAAGAAAACAAAAAATATCAATGGATTCCTTCTTTTCCACAAAAAACCATTCGCAGATATCTTATTAATAACAAATTAAATTATAATTTTCCATTAGTTTTGCTGTTTTGTTTTAAAATACATGCGTTTGTTTTTATGTTATGGACGGCCGGTCCATTACGAAAAAATAATGGACCGCTGAAAGTGCTTCTCAGCCAATCACAGTCCGCCATTTCACCGGAAGGGATGCTTGCCATATAATAAATAATCATAATAGAAGTGATTAATTTAAAGTTTAAACACATATTGAGTTGTTGTCATGGTAGCAATGACCTTCAAATATTGTCGTAGTCTTTACTTATTAGCCTTTCTCACACGGACCAATATCCGTCATTTTGGGGACTGTCAACATGAAAAGTGACTTTTGAAAGTTGTAAGTGATAGACCGAATACCCCCACAAAAAAATACAATTGAATTTTTAAAAAAATATTGCGCCGATTGGCCAATTAATAATAATAGTCCAGACGGGTCACAAATTATAATGAGAGAATAACGAAAAGGCCCAACGAAAGACTAAGAAGACTTCGAGAATGCCGTTTCCGACGATCTAGAGATTCCAAATTTTGACACCTAAATTTATCAAGCTTCCTACGCCCCTGTTTTAAATATATTAAAAAGTCTTATACATGATTTACGCAACCGAGTATGCTATTCTAATTCTCCTTACAGTTTTAACATTATTTCAAAATGTTAACATTAGCTTATGTGCAATCCATAACGTCACCCGTCAAATTATTTTAGTGCGTGAAGAACTGAAAGAATTGGCAAAGGATTATGACAAGTCTGAAAATGATCTCAAAGCTCTTCAGAGTGTTGGACAGGTACAGTACAACAAATAAAATTACTGGAGATGCAACTACACGTTTAAGCAACACTTTCGATTGATCAATAAACCCTTTGGAGTATAAAATAACGAACTAGGGCACACGCTCCTCGGACACATTGGACATAATATATCGTGCACTGCATGAATGGATGGCATGGTGATGTAAGAGGCAAATAATTACTCTGTTATGGTACCATCCATCATGATTGTAATATTTAAATATGTTTAATTCCTTGCTAGATTGTTGGAGAAGTTCTTCGACAGTTAACAGAAGAAAAATGTAAGCTTCCTCTAAATGTTTGGTGTTCTACTAAAAATTATAATTGATACATTTTTTAAAGCAATGTACCAATTTGCCAATTTATTCTTCTTACCAGACTTGAGCACTGTAGCTATATGTCATGTATGATTCATGGTTAACAATTCACAACATTTGTATGTTCTGCTCATGCAAATAAGTTTTCATGACTTCAATCTCAATATCCAAAGTTTACATTGACTCGTCAATCATGGTATTATATAATTTGTTATTATGTATCTCATGCATGGGTATTGCACGCATGCAATGTTATTTTTAATTACTTTTGTCTGATATGTTCTCCTGGCTTTTCATTTGCAGTTATTGTAAAAGCCACCAATGGACCAAGATATGTTGTCGGCTGCCGAAGACAGGTTAGTTCCTTTATTTTTGTGTAGACTACAATTTTACAAATGCGTGAAGTATTTATAATTTATAATATTCCAATGATCATTATATTGGCTAGTTTCAGTAAGTGTCAGGAGGCAGAAGATAGTGGTCAAAGTCAGTGTTGTCGACACTGTGAGTTGACAGCAAATTCATTGGGAACATTGTCGTACTTGGGAAAACCCAACTATACTTTCCTGAACAATGCAGTAACATAATACTGTATTCCTTTTCTTATATAGGTTGACAAAAATAAGTTGAAAGCTGGAACCCGGGTGGCGTTGGATATGACTACTTTAACAATTATGAGGTACAAATATATGTGAATCAGCCTAGACCAAGGCATTTAGTCAGATTGCAGGCTAATAGCTAATGATGACGTCATAACGAATAACCCACTGCCCCAATCTCGTGTGAAAAAGCGCTGAAAATGTTGAAATAAAAATTTAGACTGTTTTTGAAGAATTAATAACATTTTGGAATAAATGAAATAATTTTACTGAAGAAAGTTTGTTTTAAACAACAACACTTAGTGTTAAACACTAGCATGTACTGCTGCAACCATGATGCCACAATTTAACATACATTTATACATTGAACAACTAATTTTTCGTCTGCCCTAAAAGCTTTCGGTATTTTTAAAGAGTAGCCATTCGTGAATATACTTTGGGGGATAATTAAGGTTACAAAAGGACGCCAGTATTAAAGTTCACATTAACTCTAACAGTATATGTTTTGATATTTCAATTGCTTTAATTATTTTAGTATTTTCGCGATATCTCACTTGTTCCTCGTGCCAGAGATATTCGGATACTATTTGAAAATCACACTGTCTTGTGCATGTTTTTTAGTGCAAATTGCACCAAAGCTGTGGCAAAAATTGAATCAAATGACTCAACAAACAGACGGAAGTGCGTTCCCTTACAGTATTTCATCTGAAACGGTGAAACCCAGTGTATCGTTGTTATACACAACTATTTTCGTTGTCCCGACTGGCTTTGTTTGTAATTATAATCCCCGAGCGAACGGCGCGTTCCTTTTCTCCAAACATTTGGTGTGTAAAATTACACACTATTTTTAGGAGTGTAATGTGCCTGAAATGCTTAAAAATGTCACCGCAATCGTTGGTAAAAGTAGACTTGATACAACTTGTCTCGCAATAGAGGTCATTGCAAGCAATGTACACACTGCAAATAAAGGTTCACACGACTTGTATCGCGACCAAATTGCGAGACAAGTTGCACGAAAAATTCTATCGCGTATACAGCGCCTTAAAAGTTGCATGCAATATCGAATTTCAATAATAGCGTCTATAACTATTGACATACACTTTGCACTATCCTTGGGATCTGTGAGTGTGAATTGCACTTGAAATCCTGCTTAAATGTTAAAACTATACTATCAAAGAAGTGTACTTATACAATTTTATTCCAGGTGTTTACCTCGTGAAGTGGATCCATTGGTGTACAACATGACTCACGAAGATCCCGGGGATATAAAATACTCCGATGTTGGTGGATTGGGTGAACAAATCCGAGAATTAAGAGAAGTATGAGGTTTTAACCACTGCATGGCCTAGCCAGTTGGTAACGCGAAGATTTTAAATCAAGGCTTCAGATTTACCTGTTGCCAACGGAAGGAATTGAAATACGACGTACTGTACTGTACGTAACTGTCATCTACTAACATTAGGTCAAAAAATCAAATATATGCTCACTAAGAATTTATATATTTCCTGTATTTAATATGAGGGGCGTGAACTTTCCTAGGAAATTTTGTAGGCATTATAGTTGCACTTGATATAAGTTGCAATTAAGGTAAAGGTTAATGTATGTTTCCTTATCTTAAGGTTATTGAATTGCCACTCACCAATCCAGAACTGTTCCTCAGAGTTGGTATCCAACCTCCAAAAGGGTGCCTCCTTTACGGGCCACCAGGTTCGTTTATTGTTTAATGCGATATATGACAAGTAGCAAACATAACCGTGCTGAAGTACTGTACATGTTATATCAAAAGAACTTCACTCCTAAAAATGACTTTCACCCGATTTATTACTGTAAGACTTACTTTCAATCGTTAAATAATCAACCCATTAACAACCCCAAAGTCGTGGGATTGTTCGATCCACGAGCTTTAAGGCAAGTTCTTAAATGCCAATTAATGAAAGCACTTTCACTGACAAATGACATGAACCTTTTCTTGTTTCTTTAGGTACAGGAAAAACCCTACTCGCGAAGGCTGTGGCAAGCCAATTGGACTGCAATTTCTTAAAGGTGGGAGATTAAACACATACATGTTCACAATGAGTGATTAAATGTTCGTGAAGCGCAAAATATGACAACCATTTATTGTGGCAAGAAAGTTTAATAAAGGAAAACGTTTTTAGAAATGCAATAGTCATTACACCTCTTAATTCTAAAGGAATCCTATAGCGATAGACGAACCATTGTTCATAATACCAGTTTTCATAACACCATTGTAACATTGTTCATAACACCATTGTGACATTGTTCATAACACCATTGTAACATTGTTCAATTGTTCATTATTCACAGCACCATTGTTCATAAATCATAACTATACAGTTGTTGCTCTTTTGACGATATTAGTGAAACGTCGGAACTGTATTTATTATATACAGAACACCATTATTTTATATCTATTTATTTCATAAAGCAGATTTTGTTTTTTCTTTCATATTTTGACTGCATCCATCTATTATTATATTAAATAACCGTATAGCATGATTATTTTTGTAGGTCGTTTCGAGCGCTATCGTAGACAAATATATTGGTGAAAGTGCAAGACTTATCCGTGAGATGTTTGGTAGGTTAAATTTTTTTATTAACCTGTATAGAAAAAGGCAAATCAATTATATTTGTTATGATGGTTTCCGATTTCACAAGTGATTATTTTTTCTAGGTTATGCTAAAGATCATGAACCATGCATTATATTTATGGATGAGATTGACGCCATTGGTAAGAGGCAGATAAATCCTAGTTTTCACTGGGGTAGTATAAGCACAAGTATGAGGAAAGTCAAAACGCAAAACAAAGGAATGCAGTGATGCAATTCTACGTAAGCTTGCGTCGGCACAAACGTATGGGCATAATTTACGACAGAAAAAGAAAATTCTGTTAAGTCTCAGGGAAGCCATGTTTTGTTCTTTTGCTTATGCTCGTTACAATAATACAATATACATGATGTAGACGGTGTATACGTTCGACGTTATTGAGATCCCGTCATGCATGGCTGCGTGAATTTTTAGTGTTGGAACTACCTGACTTACCCTAACCTAATCCAAATCATAATTCTAACCCCAATTCTTAACCTTATTCTTGTTCTTATTCTGACCGTATTTTGTATCGAAGTTTACGTGACCTAATTCCAGGACAATTATGTTAGATCGTTTGGAATTTATGGGCCAAATGTTTTGAATGTTATTTTTCTTTTACAAAGGTGGGAGAAGGTTTTCCGAAGGAACATCTGCAGACAGAGAAATTCAACGAACTCTTATGGAGGTATCCTATGTACCTGTATTATCGAACACTGGGCTGTTACCAGACTAGTTTTCAACCATGCATATATAATTTCTTAAAGTGTGTTTCATGGTCTGTGCCGTCATGGATCACTGATTAGGGATCAGATACATGGAAATGTATATATTGTATAATTAATTTAGCACGCGACACCATGAAAAGAAGTCGCGCTATACACACGTTTTGTGGGTTTCACCATGCATGACGGACAACACAATTAGTTGGACGAATTTTAATTCAACAGACGAATATGATGTAAGATATGTAAGTTGCTCTTGCATGCTAAATATTTATTTTCTTTGCAGTTACTTAATCAAATGGATGGTTTTGATCGACTTGGACAGGTTTGTATCCGTGTATATATACTGCATGTTTACGCAATCATGCAGTATCGACCATATGTACTTTTCGCTTCTGGCCTATAAAATACAACGTTGAAAGCAAGTTAACGCTTTGCTGTGGAATTGATAGGCAATGTAAGGGACCGCACAGAGTGAAGAGTAGTATCCTACGTCCTAGAGGACCTGTATACAGTACTTGCAACATTGGATATTTTCCCTTATAATACTGCATGTATATGTACTTTGGATTAGCGAGAACGGACTCATATTTGATGACCATGGCCTTTGGGTCTCACTCGGGTTCCTGTTTTGGTCTCACTATAATTTATTATACGACTTGGTATTGTAAAAATGCTGAAGATGTAAAAAGTGTATATTATATTTTTAGACAAATTCAACACTCGTACTGGCTTAACCGTATAGATTGCGTATATATATATATATATTGACCCTCACATGTAATCGTGTAATGTACATTCACAATAAAGTAATTTATTCATGGACGTATCCCTGTAGGTTAAAATGATCATGGCAACTAATCGACCTGACACGCTAGATCCCGCCTTGCTACGTCCTGGAAGACTTGATCGTAAAATTGGTAGGTAATATTTGATAAACGTATCGGAAAACTATGCGTGTGCATGATGTACTGTTTATAATAAACGAGCAGGAGTGTTTTATTAGGTTTAAAAAGTTAAAAACACGAGCGCGTAGCGCGAGTGCATGGTTTTAGACCTATTGTAATAAAACGCGTACTGCGAATTTATTAAACGGCTTCAAACGCAACTTCATTGGTATTCTTTATATAAAGTCATAAAGAACACTAATGAGAAGTGTTTTATCAGGTATAAATAAAATCACTGCACGTGAGGCATTATCAGTGATTTAACAGGCTAAAAAGCTTATGAATTATTAATGAGTGTTTGAATATTATCATCATAAGTTAATATTGGGTAGGGATTGCGCGTGGGTTAATTGTAAATAAAGATGGAGTTTTGTGAGAGCGTTGTAGTTGCGGTAAGTATATTGTATAGGAATATCAGAATAATACCAATGTGACCGTTAAATGTTTGTTTGTATCTACAATATGCCAGGTTTATTATTTTTTTAGAAATTTCCTTGCCTAATGAGCAAGCTCGAATGGATATTCTGAAAATTCATGCTGGTCCAATTACTAAACATGGAGAAATCGGTATGTGATTTTGTTGTATTGCTACACTGAAATACTGAATTCAAAATACAAGAAATTTTTCAACCAAAGAAGGTTAAAGGCGCAGAAATTGGCAATTACGTTATTCGATGTCCGTTACTTTAATGGAAAACGTGGTAGAATGCAGTCGCAGTTTTTTCTGGAATATCCCTCATGTGCGTCAACCCAACAACATGATTTGACAAAACGTTATTTTGGTCATATGGAGTATTATAATACTAAGCTAGGAATTTGTTTTCGTTGTTTCGGATGAAGCATAATCATCTTATTATAGTATATATACCGGTACCATAGATATCTTATATACACTAGATAGTGCATCTCTTTTAGTAAAATTGAAGCCAAGAATATTCCAGCGGTTACCCCAATTTGAATAGATGGCGGCCATGTTGGAGTTTCCCACTCGCTCATAAACGCTTAAAAAACAACAATAACTTTCATCATTTGAATAGTTTGAAAATGTATTTGGAATAGGTTTAACTTAATGTTTAAGTTCCCTGTTTAAGAAATAGAAAGCATACGAGTCTTCTCATTTCATGGGAATATCCTGAGTCTGCAATCACGGTTTCAATTTTTGAATTGCAGAATAATTAGATGCACTATCTAGTGTATAGAAGATATCTATGGCCGGTACTTATTCCAAATAACATATATTTACTTTCATTTTGTTTTCTCTTTCAAGACTACGAAGCCGTCGTTAAGTTATCGGATGGTTTTAATGGTGCTGACTTACGAAATGTCTGCACAGAAGCAGGTAATGTTTCCAAGGCCATGTTATACACGCAGCAGTTTTTCCAGCAACGCACATGCACACACGTACAGTCATGTTAGGAAGAAGTATATATGCCCACAGAACAATGCTCAGAATGACCCGTGTTTCATATTTGGTGTTTCTTGAGCAAGTTTATTCTAAGATAATATAGGCCATACTATAATTCTTCTGCGAACTGTTTTACATGAAGTCCATAACATTGCTCTGTGTTTGAAATTGCGTTACAAGTGCAGAAAAGTACGCCATTGTCGCCATGTAGGATAATTTTGACAAAGGATTTACTTTGTTTGCAATTAAAATATAATCCAACATGTAATGATCTTTTCTCTTTTGAGTCCTTGCATGGGGATTGGGATTTGTTGCCCACCACCCATAGACAAATCACAAATATTCATGAATGTTCACATTTCCTCTTTAGGAATGTTCGCTATCCGTGCTGATCGTGATTATGTTGTCCAAGAAGATTTCATGAAAGCAGTACGCAAAGTTTCTGATAATAAGAAGCTGGAAACGAAACTGGATTATAAACCAGTTTAAATCTTACTCCCTTACTTCGATCGATTGAAAATTACCCTGAACAAGAGAATCGATAATATAGCTAATATTCAATTTTATTATTGAAATAAAATGCCTTCGACTATTCTATTCTTGGTTGTGTATATTGTACGCCAAAGTTAAGCATTTGACTGGCTGCGTTTCTCTCTGGAAAATTCACAACCTCGTACCCAGGCTCTTACCTTCGCACGCCCTCAACCCTGGGTACGAGCAGGGCGCTATAAAACACGGGCGGGGAAACGCGCTAATAAATGACCGTGCTATGTGTGATGCACATTAGGATTGGCGCGAGCGCGCTTTCTCTAAAAAAATCAGAAAATCGCGTACAAAATGGCAACAAAAAAATGTAAACAAGCAAACGAGAAAACAAAGGATTTAACTGCTAAGTAATTATGTTTCGTTAATTAAAATTTGAAATATTATTTAATAAGTTATATCACATGTAATAGCTTGTGTTGTTTGTTGCTGAACACTCGTTGAAAGAAAATTTCAGGGCAAAAATTTTACTCGAGCGATGAAAATATTTGCAAAATTTAAAGCGCGGACGTGTTTAAAATAGTGTTTTCTCCTCGTTGAGATAGGTTGAGATAAATTTGAACACACCAAACTATAGACATTTAATTTGGCTCTATGTCTCAAGTAAAATTGAACGGTGCTTTTTTGTGCTTTTTTCATAAATTGGAGATATTTTGCAGCCTTTATAGTTTTCCGTAACACTGTCACTGCAATGTCAACGACTGCAGTCGCACGAAAAAAGATTCACGCTGAATATTTTTGGAGTGTCGGCGGCAGTTATACCAATAATATAGAAATCAAATCAATTAGTTAAAAACATTTTACAATGAACTTTCAATGGATTCTGAGCAGGCCGGCTGGTTAACACAAAAACGGTTATATATTTAAGTTTTCAAATTGTCGAGCAAATTGTTCAGTAGTTGTTTTTTTTCAAATTGTAGTTGTTTTAAATGCATGCATGGTCAATTTTGGGCTATATGATTATTGAAAAATAGTAGCCAAGCAATGTCAGAATATTCTTACTGTGAAAATGTTTATCCTACCTTCGTATTATGAAGTAAAATATCCCATTTCATACCAAAATTTTCGTATTTGGAATATGCCCACATTCGATCAGCTCGATCCTTTTCAAATTTTTATTTCGCTCATGATGAATCTTTAAAGCCCTTTTTCCTTCATCAGATATACAGAAAATGAATCCAACAATGTCTTCAAACCATCAAGTTGTTTAGGAATGCAGAAAACATTTTTTACTTTAGTTTTTTCAGCTCTTTTTTGCATAAACATTCCAATTCCATTTTTATTGACATTATAAATTAATGTATACGGGGGGTACGCGCATCACACAAAGATCAGGGGCGCTATCTCCGTTTCACCGCCCGTGTTTTATAGCGCCCTGGTACGAGGTTGGAAAATTCACGGCAGTGAAGGAGTTGAATGAGGTATATACGCTTTCGCTAGATATTTCCCCAGAGATATTTGGCTCCAAACATGGTAAAATAAGTTTTTTTTAAAAATGGCCCGGAGAAAAAAAGTAGAGTTCGAGTAAGGCTTGTGACATCAAGTCAGGAAAAGAAGTAATAATAATGTTAGGGAAGGGGCTGGGTTTGGTATACTATGTAGTATATTAGTAAAGAGTGCTGAATATTCGAACACACAACAATGCGAAGGCAGTTACTTCCGTTCCAGATTCGACGCAGAAGCCTTGTTCGGACTCAGATTCTTTTCTCCCGGCCATTTTAGAGCCAAATATCTCCGGAAATATCTATCGGATGATGCATGGAATGTAACATATCAGTCAACTTGTGGAGAATTTTCAGAGGAAAAATAAACTTCTTTCACATCTGTGATTGGTAGGCATCAGCTGCGATTGAGAGAGATACAACTACCTGAAAAATACTATACTATATAGCAGAACTTCGACATTTTGAGGGAAGGCCCTTCGGGAAGTTAGTAGCCACTACTAGGGGCGCTCAAAACGTCCACGTTTTGCTTGTATTTTTCAGGTAGTTGTATATATCTCTCAATCAGAGCCGAAAATAGTGAGGGGGGGGGGGAGGTGGGACACCCCTCCAATATTGTAATATTGTAGCACAGAATAAGGCACACAGAAGGGCCCCCTGGCCGCCATCTTCCTAGCCAGTCGATTACATTTTCTGGCCAATAAACGCGCTGTATTGGCTGGCCGCCATCTTCCTGGCCAGTCGATTGCATATTTTTGCATAGAAAAATGGTGACACGTTGCACCGCTGAGTGGCCCTTCTGGTACTGATCTTTATTCTGTGATTGTAGTTTCGTCGGGCAAGTTTAACAATTTCAACGACACGCTTGTCGGGCCAAAACTATATGTAATTGAAAATTTCCCCCCC